TTGGGACGTCTAAGGTAGCGTTGATGAATCTTGCAAAATATTCTCTTACCTTCTCTCCCTCCTTCTGTTTACAACCAATAATAGAGTGGGAGTCCACTTTTACTTCCGCAATTGCATGAAGTTCGTCAGGAAGAGATACTTCAGTTGGCCAAAATTGTAAATGCTTCCTGGACGGAGAGTCTTAAACCATGTTCCTGCGTTGCCATCTAGCGTTGTTGAGAAGTACATGAACCAGAACCGTTCTTCTAGCTTTAGGGAGGTTATCGTCCACTCATACGTTTCAATATGGCTATCTGAGTCTGTAGTCCATTGTAAATCTTGAGGTGTGGCAACTCTGCAGTATTCGGTATTTCGTAGTCTAAAAGTTCCTTTGCAAAGGGTGATGTTACACTTCTTGACAAACAGTTTTGGTTTGGGATCTGGAGGATGTGACTAGGGTGGAACTGCTGGGTAGCGAGATACGATTGTACCAACATGTTGTTGTATGCTGAAAAAGGCGTTGGAGTCGGTCCGTAGAAACTTTGGGGTTGAAACGGGAAGGTGAGTGATGTATTCGTCGAGAATGGTTGGTTCAATGGTGGCAACTGGTTGGCTGAGGACAGTTGATCTATTGTCAACGGTTGGGGTTGTTGTAACGGCGGAGAGAGTGGTGTGGTTGTTGTGAATGGAGTTGCATGGAGGGTGGAGGCTTGTTCACCGATATTTTGTTTTACTAAAGGGGGTGGTGTTTGTGTAAAGGTGAATGCTCCATCGGAGGTTGACACCACCGCCAAAGCCATGCTACTGAATATTGGCGTTGCTTGGTTGCTGTTAAACGGAAAGGTGTGCGGCGGAGCGGTGACAAAAGGCATCGATCCCTCCATTGTTGGCATCCAAAGTCGGCTCACCATAGTGCTAACCGTCATCGGACCACCGGACTGTGGTGTTTGGTTATGATGGTCTTCGATGGGTGTGATGAAGTAGTGGTAGTGATGTCTGGCTCTAACTACATCATGGATCTGACTGGGCTTCCCGACATTTTACTGGCCTCACTGGTGCCTTCTATCGTCATCCTCAAGTTTGATGATGTGTGGTTGCATGTTGCTTGTGGTCACACATCTGATGGCGCCAAATGATGCAACCTGGTCCTCCGGACTGTCTCAGATGGTAGTTCTGATCACGACGATATGGAAAATGGGTGCTCCGGGAAGACCTGTGAGGTCACAACAAGAGACTGTCAACCGTTCTCCGAGAGGAGCTCCCGAGAAAACGCTCTGAAGGTCAAATCAGTGGCTGAACTGAGAGTGTATAGTGAGAGAAAGGAGAGAACAGCTTACCGTTTGAGGTGGGGGAGGAGGCCTTTTATACTGAGACCCCCTTGCCAGTTCGTAAGGGGACAAGGTCGTCAGGTCCGATAAGATCTGACACCTTGATTGGTTAATCATTATCCTCGTATTGTACAGCTAGTTATTGTTTAGGTAGTAATGCTCTGAGCATACTCCTTATCGCTTGGAGCCGTTCGGTTTGTCGCGAAGTGGAAGGCACCCGCTGAGGGCTGAGCCTTCTACGCGGTCGCCCAACTCTAGAGGGCGCCCGCGAGTGCGATACTTCATCGGGGCGGCTATGCTGGGACTAGCCTGGCCTGGCGGCCTGCCTTGGGGCATCTTCAGAGCGTCCTGAGCGCGACTTCTAGCCCGTGCTAGGGACACATTATCAATATATATATATATATATATATATATATATATATATATATATATATATATATATGTTTAAAAAAAATTATGATGTTACATAGTTATCCAAAGATGGATTGTAAACATGTTCACTGTTATCAGAAAGATCAGATCAAAGGTGGTGATGGGTTTCAGTGTTTTACGATTCATGTAGTATTTTTGTGTCAATGACTCCGTTATTGAGGGGATCAGGTTGATGCAGGAGATATCGTAGTACCCTCATCTTGCTGTGTTATATTGTTTAGTATAACACAAGTGTACATTGTATCTCTTAATCTCTTCAACGACATAGATCATGCTTGTTGTTTTAATATGTACTAATGTGATTTAAGGACCGCAAAAGCACTTTCTACGTCATTTCTTGCTGATTCTTGTGGAGTCTTAAATCGTTTTTTTATTGGATGTAGGTATAACTTCACAAATGCAACCCAAGTTGGATATATTCCATCCGCAAGATAGTAACCATGCTTGTAATGTTCGTTGTTTAGATTAAATGAACACCTGAGTGTTCCATGATATTTATCGCCAAAAAAGTGGTGATTGGTAGAGGGGTTTCAAATCATTATTTGAACCAACTACACTATAGAATGCATGCCGAAACCATAAATCTTGTTATGTCACCGCTTCTGGTATCATTGTTGGATACTCATGATCACCCTATGTATTGGCCTTTCAATTCCTTTGGGTAATTCCTTCTATTCCAATGTGTGTAGTAAGTGCTACCAACCATTCTAGGGAATCTATGCCTGGCTTTGTGTGCTTGGTATAAAAGTTGAATGTCAGTAGATGTTAGACGACTCAAATATCCAGCCTTATACGATTGGACAACATCATACCATAAGTTTTGAAGACTTTCACATGAAGTTCTTTCCGACATCTTCAGATACTCATGTACTGAGTATAGGTTGCTTCCGTATGCTATTTGATGTAATGTTGAGGTGCATTTTTGCAGCACACTTAAACATTGATGTCTTTCATCCCATGTTGTTTGAAAAAAAAATGGATAATTCATCTTCACTACACCAACAATGAGCATAAACAAATATTTACTCATCCAGAACCTTTTATAAAATTGTTCGTTAGCAAAGGTTTAATTAGTAGCAAAATAATGTCAGACGTGTGGTTGTGTTGAAAGTAACATTATTCTTAACAAGAGCTTATTTAGTACGAGATAATGAAGATAAAAAATTAACATCGGTAGTTCATTGTCAGATGAAGTTGAACCATATGGATTTTCTTCCATTATTATTTTCCGGATGTTTGGATTCATTTTGGTAAAAGGTGATGAATGGAATGAAATTACACAGAGAAAAACAATGGAGTTAAAGGAGTTTGGAATGGAATTGAAGAATGTATGATTATTAAAGAAGATGAAGATGGTTATTCAGTGGCGAAATCAGGAATTTATGAAGTAGTGACGCCAATCTTTTTTCAACTTAACATATAAGAGTAGTTGCTAGGGGTGAACATGGTAAAGTAAAACAAAGAGTAAGAAAGGAGAATTAAACCTACAATCTCATGATTTTTTTCAAACCCGACACATTCGGTTAAAGAGTGAACGCACTAACCAACTGAATCACCTGATGTTTTTTTATTAATTCGCAAAACATATTTATATTAGTTGTTGCACCTTAATACAATTTTTTATATATATATTTTTTTTACACAAAACCGAAATCAAGTAGTGGCTCTAAGACCCCGGGAAACCCCATGGATCCGCCACTGTGGTTCTTTATAATGGTATTTTAAAAAAATCTTTTTTGACAAGTCAAAAGTCAACAAAATGAAGGGAAAATAAGCAGGTCGAGGAACATGCCAAACACAAAAGCCACAATACCTAGAAATGAAAATTTCATTCGACCCGGTGGGTAACCCGGTTGACCCGTCCCAATCGGGGACAGGTATTCCCCTAAAAAACGTGTAGCGGGTATAGGGACAACAATCCCCATTAGGCTAAAACTGGGGATGGGGCTGGGTCCGGGTATCCCAATCCCCAACTCACCTCATCCCCGCTTTGTTGACAATATATATATATATATATATATATATATATATATATATATATATATATATATATATATATATATATATATAATTTGATAATTTATTGAATTTAAGTTAAGTCCAATAATTATTAATTAATTTGCGTTAGATCATCAGAGACAGAGTATACCAAATTCCTCAATTAGGGACAGGTCGGGGATGGGCCGGGGAAAAGCCCAAAATATAAAGGGGAGGAGACTCGATTCCCCGCATCCATCGGGGGTGGGGATGAAAATAGGGACGATGTTAGGCACTCGGAGACGGGAACACGGATTGTCAACACCGTCCCATCCCGTCCAGTCCCCATCTCCATCGCAAACGATACATAATCACCGACGGAATTGATGACTCGTTGATACCGACGACACCGCCACTTATCTTCCGGAAGCCGCGATCGATTTCCTCCATCCCAATTAAATCTATTTGGGAAAAAAAAACATTGTATTCTTGTGGAAGAGAAAGCAGCATGTAGAAAGCTCGGCCAGTTGGCGTTAGCAATGGTTTTGTCGGTGACACCCCACACTAAATCATCGATATACACATGCACACCTTTCTTATTTCAATTATTTAATGCAATAAAACTTAGACGAATACCTTTTGTTTCTTTTATAATATGTATGGCTTTGGTTATTGTTGTTACATTTTAATTATCGTCATGTTTTTATATTAAAAAAAAGTAAAAAAACAAAAAAAGTAATTTGTCGTTTTATTATTCATGAGTTGTGAGTGGAAAAGTGTTAGCATATCATTATAATAAAACTAAGTATACAACGTCATAACTTTAGGGGGAATATACTAAACATACATGTGTTGTCATGATAATCTCACCAGTAGTGCAATATGCATATTTAGATATGTTTTCGTTTTAGAGAACATCTTCTATATAAATAAAATTCATTGTCAATTCACGAACTTATTTATTACTTAAAGTTGACATGTATGCTAGAAAAATTTATAGCCACGATAAAAGATACTAGAAGAAATGCAATTACTATGTGGGTAGAACAAGACATTGAACCTTAGCTCAAGCAATCCCTTCCTTCTTTTTTGACAATGAATTAAAGGTTAATTTAGACAATATTATGCTTGAATTTCTACTAAAGAAAAGAATTTCCCACCTTTGCATAATTCCAATTCGAGTTGTGTTTGTGTGTAACCTCTATTTAAATTGCAACATACATTCAAGATAACATCATCTATGTTTTTTATTTCTTAAACACTCAACCTAGTTAGAAATCATTCATGGGAGCTCCCGAGTTAGGAGAAAAACAACAAAAGCAGCAACTCGATCGTGAGATTCGAGACATGATGAATGCACTCACACGTCGCCTTGCTCATCTCCATAAGAAACCCAATGAGAGAGGAGGTGCAAGCAACATTCATGATCATGATCAAGAGGATGAGGATGCCAATGGTGGTTTTGGGATCATAACTATGGCTGGAAGCAACGAGGGAGCCACTATGAGAGGAGAGCTTGACTTGATGAGTATGGAGAATCATAAATTAGGTACAACACAACATAATGAAGAGTCTCTCACTCCATTGACAAGTTACCTTAATGGCAACGTCCAAGGTATCAACAATTCTATCATGGTTGGTGGCAGTTACTCTGCCAATGATCCTGGTATCCATTTGGATGTTGATGAACATTACATGCAACATAAGGGGGAGCTTGGTTCACAAAAGTATGGAAAGAAAGGTAAGAAGAAGGCTTATTCTGGATCTTCTAAAAGTGAACATTCTAACTAATCATTATCTAAACTTTGCCCACACACATATACACGAGGATAATGTTTCTTGAGTCATTTTTTAATCTATATATTGAATTCCAGCCGAAAGATGTTATACATAATGTTTCATCATTTTATTCGATTAATAATCTTTCTTTTTATGATTGTATGTAATTGCATTAGTCTCTTAATAAAATAGTTATTATCTACAATAATCTTCTATCTTAAAAGGCAATTTCTTGTTAATCCATTTGGCAGCATGATCAAATGCATTAGTTTAATACTATACTTCTATACTCTATACAATACAACATTATTTTTTATATTAACACTTTCTTTTAGTTGGCGAAATAGCATTTATCTATAAAATACTTCAAAAAAAAAAACTTTAATATGCATAAACAAATAGTTGTAGTTTTTTCTAAAAGTCTAGCAACTCAATTATTATAGATTTCAATAATTAAGCTAAAGAAGAAAAAAAAAAGGAAACAACACAATAAATAGTTTGATATATAACAAATTAAGAATAATTGAAAATTACAATGAACAGATTTTACAAAATTAAATTACAACATCGCCCACTTTACTTTGCATCTTCTATTCCACCGACATCCAGCCACATCGGAGAACAGTACACCACCGGAACTGACATAATCATTCATATTTCATTCCCTTCCACCGGAGTTGGAACCACCATCGCCGACATCATCATTCGTTACTTATCTTACCTTGTAAATGATCTAAACAAAAAAAAATTAATATGATACAATATAATCGGAGTAACTGTATGATCTTTGAATTTGGGTATAGCTTAGATCAGAGACCAATTTGATCAGCTTCGGAATTTACTGCTGCCGTCGTCGAAATTGCGAGCGTAACTATGGGAGTTGTAACGAACTGTCTGAGGGAGGCCGACATTATCAGATCTGACGAGTCTCCGGATCTCGGATCTAACCTTGAAGAAGACGTGTCTCCAGCTTCCTTTATCATGGGATCTGAGACCGGAGGTTTCCTCTTGATTAAACTCCAGATCCTGTGCGAATACGGGTTTCCTTGACAGGATCCATCCCCATCCCCGATCCCACCAGTTCCTGACTGAGGTAGACGTGGATTCCCCCATTGATGAAACGGATTTGGAGCGGCGCATCGCCCATGCGGTTGCAGCTGAGGTGGTGTCGGAGATGGAAGAGGGCTGGATCCGTAAGGACATGGAGGAGAGTCTCCGGCGGATGCCGGCAACCACCGAAGATGGATCGTTTGAAGAGGTGTTGTAAGATTGAGAAACAGGGAGAGATCTCTCCCTCTGTAACATAGAAGTCATGGTGTTGATGAAAACTGGAAATTGAATGGATGTATGATGATATAATGGTGGCGAAAGCAAGATTGGTGTGAAATTGAAATTACATGGTGTTTTTTTGTTTATTAATTTGATTTGAAGGGGGAGAATAAGAAAGGCCGTATGGTTTGTGATATTTAAAAAACTTTTGATAGCGTCCAAAAAACTTATGTCCAAAATTAAGGTTTTTCCGTGTTTTTGGTTCAAAAAACTTGAAGAGACTGTTATGTCCTTTTATTTTCTTTGTATTTTTTTATAATTTTTCAAATACTATTTTAATTAAAAAATAAAAAGAAAGAAAATGATTATCTCTCTCTCTCTCTCTCTCTCTCTCTCTCTCTCTCTCTCTCTCTCTCAACTGAACATTTCGTCTCCATTGGCAACCTCCAAGTATTGATTTTAAACTGTAACCAACTCACCGGAAAAATCCCAAGTGAGCTTGGGAACTGTCGAAGTCTTAAGAATTTGAAGAGAAATCAAGAACCTACAACATTTAGGCCAACTCCAACAACTCACCTCCAAGACTTGATATTTGTTCCACCAGTTTACCAATTTTAGCACCATAAACAGAAATCAAGAACCTGCAACATTTAGGCCAACTATGGTGGCTATGTCACCTATCGATGCCTCCCAATTAACTCTGACAACCATTTCCTCTCTCAACCTCAGTCAACGTCTCTCTCCCAGAGGGTATCACGATGATTAGTGGTTTTCGACTTTTCGTCATCGGAGAACATAACCCACCACTAGTAACTCATCAAAAAATCGAGCACAACCATCGAATTGATCTTTGCTTGCCTCTCTGTTCATCATTGAATCACCCCACCTGGAATCTATTATCTAGTACCAAATCTGGAATCCACGAATCCCAAATACATTGGATCTGATTTCAAACTCAAACTTACCTCTGTTTCTTTGTTACACATACACCGACTTCCTTCTTCTTTTGATCTAATGTGAACATCTCAGTTCTCTATATAGATTGGAGTTTCATTGAACCTGACCAACTTCGCCATAAATGGTTCCGAGATGCACCTTTTCTCAGTTCATCGAACCTCCACAGCCCCCCGTTAAAGGACAAGGTCGAGATGCACCATTGGGGTTTCTCTGTTACTCCTTCACTTTCACAGATCATTATGTTGGGGGTTTCTCTTTGACTGGAACACTAAGATTCTTTTGACAAACGATTTGTTATTGGTTTTATGATTTTGACTTGAGTAAGATGATAGAGTAGTGTGTTGTTGAAGGGGAAGGGGGTTTCATTATGTGTTTATGGGACCAATGGTGAGGTTCGATCAGCAGGAGGTTGATCAAAGGGAGGGGTATGTCGATGGAGTTGTGGAAGATTCTTAAAGATGAATAGCAATGAATCTGGGTTAGGTTAGGAGAGAGAGAGAGAGAGAGAGAGAGAGAGAGAGAGAGAGAGAGAGAAAGAGAGAGAGAGAGAGAGAGAGAGAGAGAGAGAGAGAGGGTACCGATGGAGAGGGTTTGGTGAGATTTTATTTTTTATTATTTTTTAATTATTTAAATACCAAAATAAATAAAGAAAATAGAAAAAAGAAATGAAAAGGGTAAAATCGACTTTTCAAGTGTATCAGGGACCAAAAATATGGAAAAACCTTGATTTTGAACCTTCCCTGGAAGTTGGAAACTTTTTGGACCCTATCCATAATTTTTTGAATACCACAACGACCAATCTTATAGTTTTGTCTATTTTAAAAGATCATCCAATTATTTTTTTATATGTTTGTGCAAAAAGGGAAAGAAGTCCGAATTTACCTGAAAAAAAGGTCCATTAACTTGTAATTACCGGTTTCGGGCTTTATTTCACTAAAAAAATAAAAATAAAATTCAAATTGAATCATGTCCTCACCCACTGAATACAAAAGCTTTGTAGCCATTTTTTTCTTTACTCGATGATAAAGTCGCTGAATCCACATCGTCTCTTACTTATTCAGTCAAAAACATTGTTATTCATACGAGGAGGAAGGTCTGAAATCGGGCCAATTTGATGAATCGTCTCTTAATTATAGAGGCCCAACGAAATCCACATCGAGGTTTAGGTTTGATCTGTGTGATACAAATGAGATATTTGCTGAATTTTTATGTGGATTTGATGGCGGCGGCGGAGGCGACGATGGGAGGAAGAACTGGAATCCATGTGGGTTGTTGAAGAATTATAATCAAAAGAGTGGAGGAAAACAGAGACGGTGGAGAATAAACTTAGTTGTAGTTTGGAGGAGCTTTATAAAGGTTCCAAATGTACAATGCTGATTTTGAGAATTGTTCTTGATGATTCTTGGTATGGCCTTTTAATCCAACATACATTTTCACCTCTTGCATCAATTTTGAGTTTAGGATTCCATTGATGAAACCTAGATTTCTTCACCTTGAAGTTGGGTTTTTGTTGTTGAACTCTTCTATATTCGGAAATGAAATTAGATCTGTTAATTCTAAACACTAATATTGGAGTTCCAATTGCAACTTCATAAAGGTTCCAACGACCACCCAAAATTTCCTCTTCATCGTCGTCCTCTCAATTTTCAGGTCTGGTCTGGTGTGACTTCTGAAAGGAAACAAGATCGTTGTGGACCCAAGGTGGTCGTGGGGGTTGTTGTTGTTGAATCAGGGCCGACCTTTGTCACACCCCCGGACCAGACGGCGGAAACGTCCGGAGGCGGGTGACTTCATTGTGTAGTATCATAACAATTGAATATAAATGAAACATAGCAAATCCAAACATCATACATTAATATTAAACTTACATTGTTTACAATACTTGTTTTGTTCAAAAGTTAAACACGAAATAACGAAAGTAGAAATAACATAATGCAGCGACGCCGATCCTCAATCGTGGTGATTACCTGCTTACTAGATCAATGAGAATACTAGTCGTTTTGAAAAGCATCAACTAAAAAGTTGGTGAGTTCATAAGCATTTTGTATAAAAATAGTTTTACACTTGTTTAGAATTGTTCTCGTTGTACTTTCAGAAAATCCGATATTTTCTATAAAATCGTTTGGAGTCTCGTTCTGAAACCATGGATATATGCATGCATGTCATTACCTTTTATTCATCTTTATAAAGAGCGATTTTTGGAAAGTCCTATAATTTATAAAGATAAGCTGTATTTGAGAATAGTTCATTTGAGTCGTAATAATAAGTAGTTTCCAGAAAATCCCATGTTTTCTAAAAAAATATAGTTGTAAACTTTGTTTTCTTATCAAGTATAGTTGTGTGTGTGTTCTAGTTGATTAACTTTCGAAATCGTATAAAAATTGTTTTCCACAGAAAATCCTATATTTTCTGTATGTGTGTAATCGTTTGTGGTCTTAAAAACCCTAAGACTGGAGTGGTGTGAGAAATTAACAGGCGATTGTGGACAATCCGCACAATGCAAGTGGACGATCAACACAATGTGCCAATTTGTTTGTAAGGTTTTTCCCACGTAAATTTCTAAATAACATTGTTATATTCTAAGTGAGTCGTTATAACCATACTAATATGACGGAGTGTCTGTCTAGACGTTCTTCATGCGTCGGATTCGTTTAAGACATTTGTCACCCTAGACTGGCCGGTCTAGCTGTAGCGAACAATGAAGGTGCGGGGTGTCAACCCCGTATAGATCTATACACAAATTCTCGCTCTCCCTCCAGGAGACTCTGGTTATAACTCTTACAGGACTTTAAACGTACACTAATATATATAGGTACAGTGAAGATGCGTCTGACTAGAATACTAACAAATATTTATGCAAATCGTTGAAATCTGTTATCTATTAAATAAATAACAATAGTTGTACTAGTTGTACTCGTTGACTAGATATTTCGTTTTCGTTTGTTGAAAATAATCCACTTTGAATCATATTTGTGAAAAATGACCCAATATTATCGATGTTGGCAAAAATGGCCATTCTTTTTATAAATTATCAAATAAGACTCATATTTGTCAAAAGGTGTCATAAGTGGTTCAAAACTAGGTGAATTGTTGAAAATGGCCCATTTCTTCTAAAATGCTCATTTTAGACTTATATTTCTGAAAATGTTCAAAAAGGCCCTTATTTATTAGATATTTCCATTTTTGGTCCATTTTAAATCAAAGTGTGCAATAATTACTCAATTTTATCCCATGTTCCAAAAATGATCTTTATATATATATATATATATATATATATATATATATATATATATATATATATATATATATATATATATATAGCCGAAAATGGTCCAAGATATTATTATTTCCATAATTTAATATCTTCCAAAATATTATGTCCAACAACTTGTTAAGTAAATTTTGAATCAAATCCTTATGGTTTTTGTCATAACAATTTGCGACTTGTATTTTGTAACATACTAGTTCTTGTTTCTATACATAATTTGTGAAATATGGTTCAAACTCTTGAGACTTGCTCAAGATTTCGAGTTCTTGGACGAATCCATATAGAGTTTTCATAACTTTAACACATTAAACTTAGCATACATGCATAACAAGAAATTATATCAAGATTTAAACAAGGCTTTGACTTGTATCCTCCCCCAAAACAAAGAAAAACTCTAAAATAGGGGTATGAAGCTCACCTTGGGTAGGAGAAAGGTGTGGATGAAGAGGTGATGTGAATATTTGGAGCTAGAGCACTTGAAGTGTTGGATAAATCACTTGAGGGTGTTTGCTAGTATAAGGCTATGAACACATAATTTATGTGTGTGTATAAGATTTAGAATAACTAAATGCATGAATCATTTACTAGGCATGAATTACTTACCAAATATTAGGATGAATTGTGAAGCAAATGATTTCTGGAACTTGGTTGAATGCTTGAGAGAGTTTACGGAGATTTCACAGAAAGTGAAATGAGGTTATAGAATGAGAGATGGGGTTTACACCCCTTTGTATGAGGATAAGAATTTGAGAAGATGTTTGCTTTGGTTACTGAGGGGTAATACATAGGTTACTGAGATTTGTATTGGAAATAGCAAGTCAACAGCTCACAATCCGTAAACACCCTTGAATTGGGAAGGGGTTCACGGTCTAAATGGACTTTTAAAGTGAGTTTACGCTCTAAAAGGAGTCCCCTAAGGGGTTTACGGCCAAAGGGGTGGTCCACCATGGTGTTTACCGCCATCTTTGATGATTTAAGGTGGTTCACGGCCAAAATGGCTCCTTGGGAGTTGTTCACGACCAACCTTATCCCACAAGAAGTAGTTCACGGTCAAGGGTTGGTGTTTTAGGGTAGTTCATGGCCAAATTGCTTCCTCGGGAAGTGTTCATGGTCTTAGTGGATTGGAAACTCTAACATGTTAGTTTTATTGCTTATGTGTTTAGTACTTTGACGTAACTTATATTTCCTATTTGTTTGCATTTCATATTGGGGCTTAGGGCAATATAATTCCCAAAATTTTCATTACACATATCATAATAGTAATATAGTTATAACTATTACATATACAAGGTTCCTTTGGCTCGGTTTTTGGACTTGAAATTTCCAGTTGTGACATCATCCCCCCGTTAGATGGAATTTCGTCCTGGAATTCTTTAAAAGTTATTGTTACGGACTAGCGAAAAGGTGAGGGTATTTTTGCATCATTTGATCCTCGCGTTCCCATGTGAATTCAGGTCCGCGCTTGGCATTCCATCTAACCTTCACAATGGGGATGCGACTTTGTTTCGTGCGCTTAACTTCTCTATCCATAATCTCGATAGGCTGCTCAACGAATAAAAGGTTCTCGTTCACTTCAATCTCATCTAGTGGAACTGCGAGGGTTTCGTCCGATAGACACTTCTTTAGGTTTGACACATGGAATACGAATACGGGGTGTACATTACTGAGTTCGGAGGGTAGTTGTAGTTTGTAGGCTACCGAATCGATCCAGGCAAGGATCTTGAATGGTCCGATGTATCGTGGGTTTAGCTTTCTCCTATTTCCAAACCGTATCATCCCTTTCCAAGGGGAGACTTTTA